TTGTGGAAGATAAAGAGGTTCTGCTTGCTTGCTCTGAGCGAACCATGAACAGTCTGGACATTAGCCACAATTGTTGGCACAATTTTAAATTGTGACCTGATAAGACGTGGTAGGACAAATGGGATGTACGACCAGTGGATCCCTCAACTGACTTAATTAAGAATGTTGGGTCAAATAACTTCTAATGTACGTACATATGTGTCAAAAATTAGTTTGCATAATCGATTCTTTTTCTTAATTGTCACTTGTGTGTACTTCTGAAGCCAGTCCAAAATGCCTTGACAAATTTTAGGATAGTTTTGGCTTTGTAAGTTGATTTAAATGCTTTGGAGTGACTTTCACTGTACAAAGCTTGAAATGGATGGGTTTTGTCGCTTATCATACTTGTACATGTAAATAACTATGAACATTAAAAGTTTTAACTTTGGAGTATATGAGTAGACAAAACAGCAGATATCCTTTTATAAACAGCTTCTGCTATTCAAAGGTATGTACTTAAGAAGCTAGTCCAAAGTGCTTCGACAAATTAGGTTTGCTATTATGTATGCTGATTTAAATCTGTTGAGGCCTTACAATTTGGGGTTGAAGTATCTCTAATTGTGTACATGCATAATTTTTAAGAGGCTCCAGAGGAATGAAGTGGCCCCACCGGCATGATTTGTAAACTTTAAACTTTGTTTTACAATTGCCAATTTCAAAGTTTCGTTTCTTCTTTCGTGTCCGCCTTCCACCCGTCACATGGTTTGCCGGGTCTCGGCACAGCTTACAGCCCTCTTGTTTGCTGCCATCAGATCGTCACGGCAGCATTGTTTCCGGAGGATAGGGCATCTCAGAAGGTGTTGCATAGATTGGGGTGATGGGCCATAGTCACAGTTAATATTCTCATCATCGGTGTATCCCCATATTTCTTCATATTTGCCTTGCAGTGGTCCCTTTCAATGCGTAGTCTTCCACGTTTTCCAACCAAGCTATATATGTCCAGGGGGTAGTTCTTCTTTTGTAGGGAGGGGCAGTTTCTCAAGATGGTGGCTTTTTCTATGCCTTTTCTCCCACAGTCCGTGTCTCGCCATTTTCTGGGGATTCCCTTCATGGTTCAACCGAGTGGAGAAAGCTCTTCTTTGACTTCAAGCGCTTTTATTTGGGGCTGCAGGTTGGTGGGCCTAGCGTGGATGACGGGTGTCTTCAGTTTGCCTGAGGCGCTCTGTACTCACTGCAGGTTACCGTCCTTCGGGTGTAAAGTGGAGCAATACCAGCCAGAACGTAAAGGCTTCTGGCTTCTGCAGCAATTGCTGAGTGCAGGGTCAATTTTCTTTGCACTGTTGTGACGATCTTTCCCAGACGGCGGTGGTATTCTAATCTTTGCTTCACACTTTGTTTTGCGGGGTATTTGAAAATGTCTAGCCACAAATATCCCTTTTTATCCCGTGCATCGTCACATTTTAACCCTCTTAAATTGATTGTAAATATTCTTATCGTAGTTTTAGCGAGAATTTTTTTAAAATTTAGACGTCGATTTTGGATGTTTTAAGGACTTTTCTTGTTTGTGATATTGTGGACTTGTGACGCAGTACTCTTTAACTGCATGTCAGCATATAGTGTTACACGTACACTACAGTGCAATTGAACGGGATCTCTCTTGACTGCTTGGAATCTGCACTTCAACACGGTAAAGAATGAACATGCAACCATGGAGGAAGGGCACAGAAGGAGTTGCAACTCAGGCACTTTAAAGCGTCCAATGATGGTCGCCGCCGAGTCTGACGAATAATAGAAAACATTCCAAAAATGCCGTATTGCTGCCTGCATCTTAGCTGGACAAGTGGGGCTAGTAATACCGTGGCAATACTTGTAGTTTTTTGCTTGCAATTAAAATACAAACTATCGATGTGACCAGGAAATAGAGAGAGAAAAATTCCTGATATTAGACCTACTTTTGCCATCATAAATAAACTTTTTAAATGTTGACACACTGTTTGATTATCCATGCAAAGTTTGTAATTCTAGTCTCCTCCGTCCAATAAATCAGTGTTCAAAGACTAGGTACGAATTTGGCTAAGACTGGCCATCAAAATCTTCACTACTTCTGGAAAGCTCAGTTCACTAGGAACAAAATGCGCTATTTCATCACAGGAAGTGATCGTGAAATCTCATAAAATACGCCTTTGTACAAAATTTTTATGCCATAATAAAAAGTATTCAAACAAAACACAAAATCTTACAAACAGCTTGGCTATTTATTCCAAAAAGAAGTCAAGAAGAAAGCGTTCGATAAGGGCAACAAGTGCACATGAACACGGGTACACAGCTAGTAAAAGCAACTACGCAAGTACTAAATTTGATGTTGTTGTCGGATCATATCAAGCACCAACGATGACATGAATATTCAACTTCCTACACTGCAGTACACAACGTTTTAGGGATGCAGATTACCAACGAAAAACTGCAGCGACGATCATAGGGTACAAAGAGGGCTTACTGTTGCAAAACAAGTGGTGAGTAGCAGGCGTGCGCTGCGCTCTGGCTATGGACATACCGGGTATGCCAGAAAGCGGTATTTGGCCAGACGTTGTAGCCCGGGCAATTCAAACTCCTTCTGTGTCCTTCCTCCATGATGCAACACATCTGCTACCTCTGCTTCATATCTGTCGTCATTTGGATGAAACGTGGACACTAATTGCCACTATGGAGGATGTGTTCCAGTGGAATTACGAGCGAGTTATTTTATCAATTCCACACCATGCCTGCCAATTAGTAGCACTCGGGTGAGTTTGTTCCATGGTCCTGTCTTCATTAATTCTTACAGAGGTTTAGGAACCTTCAGAAACATTCGCAGGTCATCATGGTCACCGTTCCGTCAGAAACCATTGACAACATTAACTCAAACTTTGTTACTACTACTGATCTCTGGTGATATTCAGTCAAATCCAGGTCCAAAGTATCCTCGTGGAATCTGTAAGAGAAATGTGAATGTAAACCAGAAAGCTATGGAATGTGAAAACTGTTTGGTATGGT